TTCATCACCTTACACGAAATAGGGTGAATACATCTCATTACAATGATCATGCAGACAATGGACAACTAGATGCGTTCCTCTATGTCTTCCTACCAATATGACCAAGTTGTGAAAACAAGGTTAAACAACTTCTATACAACAAAAGGAGATTGCGAACACACAAAAGTCCACACCAGCTTGGTCTTCATACTTCGCCTGTCATGTTGCACAAATCAGGACACAACGCGTTATGGTAATTCACCAAACACGAAGATGAGGCAGGTGGCCTGCTGTAATCCTACCTACTTTTTCTAGCCTGACTTTGTCTACTTGATGAGACATCTCGTGATTTAGTTGGTCATTCTATGCTTTCCCTACATGCTTGATGGAAAGTGAAGTAGTTGTAGAGGTGCGTGAAATGGATGCATTTGTGACCAAGTTGGATCCTGTCAAATTGACGCATATTATTGCGTTTCATTTCACACGTGCTGTGCGCATGAATTGCACTGAATCGCGTGAGATGTGACAATGCTGATCACATTCGATTCTGGCCTTCTTTTCTTGTTAAGCGGTACTACTCCTCGCCCTCTCTCTTTTACACTTTCCTTAATCCTATCTGACACTCACGACAAGTGTACGCTTCATTTCTTACAGTCGTTTTTTCTTTCCGGTGTTGGTGGATTTGGAAGTGTCTCCTTTCTTCTATTGAGGGTGTGGCACATTTTGGTGATTTCTGTAGACAACTTAACACAATCCTCAGTAATGCCACTTTTTCGGAACTTTTTGCTCCTCCCCCAAATCGAGATATTACAAAGTTTATGCCCATGTGGTGCCGACCAATACATAAGAGGGTATTTGAACATAAAACCGAATGAAACGGTTTTTGGGTCCCAAAACTCGGAAGTGACAGGATTCAAAAAAATTAAGAAATCGGCCTAACACTCAATACAAGAACCGATTATAGGAAATAGAGCATAAAATACTCTTGTTGTGTTAATTCGAATTCGACTTCGCACCCTGGTCGGAGGGTCATGGAGAACTTGTAGAACGTCCCTAGTCTAGTGTCCTCTGTGGCTGGTAGGGACGATGTGTTCAGCTATCTCCGATCTTTCCGTATCCATTCTTCTGCATAGTCGCTGGTGTTCTTTGATCCTTGTGCTGATTAACGTTCCTGTCTATAAACAAAATACATCGGGGAGACGGAAAGGCCAAAAACAGTACAAGGATCAAAGAACATCAGAGACTTTACAAAAATTGGATACGGAAAGATCGGAGATAGCTTAGCCCATCGCCCTTACCGGCCATACAATTGACTGGAGTGCAAAGGAAAGACTGGCCTCAAACGGAGAAACTCCAGGATACAGAAGTTCAGGGTGCTCTTTCAAGGAAACCTGAGCAACAATAGATTAGAAGAAGGAAGAACCAGCGATAATGTCACGGGCTGCTTGAGCAGACTTGGAAATTCAGCAAAGACATCAAAAAGAAGATGTTTTGACTCAGGATTACTGTTTAACAAATGGAAGAGATATCACCAAGGAGCGGCTCATGAGGCACAAAGGGAAGTCAAGAAAAGGCGACTGCAGTGAGAGAAGTCAAACCAGAAATTGGTCAAAAAATTTACCAAGTGTGGTCCACTTGTGAGACATAGGATATGAAATTTAAGGCCAAAGGTATAGATGGGCAAGATATAGGTCACCAGTGTGTGTGCGTAGGTGTTTGTGTGTATTTTTCGTATATGTGCCTGAATGGGAGGTAACTGGTGACATACTTGACCACAAGAGATACCAACCAACACACACACACATTAACATCATCCCAGTACCCTAGGAATAGATTGGAATGTCAATTGGAAAGACGAGATGAGTGTGCTTTTGGCGATTCAAAGGGAAGAAAAGCAAGGGATGTATTTTTACAACAGCGGTTATGACTTAAGCCGGACACAAGGCGCAAAAGAATGAAATACGATGTGGGTGGGAATAAGGGATAGGATAATTGAGTCATGGGTTTGAGGCCTAGGGAGAGGAAGAATCCCAGGCAGTGGAACGGTGATCACCTGCTTTAAATCCTCGAATATGGCGTAATCGGGGGCGGTAGCTAAATGCATTTAGGCAGCCAGATTTTAGACATCCAAACAGTGATTTTGCTCGTAGATATGAAGACCAAGATGGTATAGCCTTCTGTTTGGTCGTAGTCTCCTTTAGCTTTATAGTGTTGGTTCGACCTTGTTTTCGCAATTTGGTCGGAGCGTCAGGGAAATATTGTGGAAGGTATCTAGTACCGTGTCCTCTTCCATAGTAATGGGGGTTTCCGGCATTGGACCATTGGCTGGGTACATTCCAAAAGGTTTCGCCTGCATCGTAGTTGGCGTAGTGATTTTGATGTTTAGAAGCGACCAAATTAGATCGAGGTAGACGAAAGAGGGTACAGAATGTTGGTCAGGAGCCCTGCAAACGAAACCTGGTACCGGTGTTGGAGCGACACACTCTTAGAATACATCAAAAGGAACGAGAGTACAGAATTGTATGAATAAGTGGATGAACCATATGAAGTGGGGTTGAGAGAAAGAGATGCAGCACTAGAAAGTAGAACGAAAAATAAGGGCGAGGAGTGATGCCACAGCGGCTGAACAGAAAATTGGTCAAGGGGAGTGCCTTCACATGTCACTTTGATAAGTTTTAACTCTGTGCTTACGATGCCGCCTATCAAGGACGATGCCGGCGAAACGTTTGGGTATCTACCAAGCCAATGGTCTCATGTTGAAAATCACGAACGCGATGGCAAAGAACACGAGACTAGGTACGTTCTACAAGGTCTCTCTTATGCTCCCACTTCATATGGCCTGTCCACTTATTAACACAATTCTATGCTCTAGTTTCCTTTAATGTCGCCCAAGAGTGTGTCGCTACAAGAGGATTTATGGAAGCATAATCACCATTAGCACCGGTTTCAGTTGCAGCTCGCAGTACTTCTGACTTTGATTAAGTCCCCTCCAGCATACATGTTACACATGAAAATCACCGTCTGGCTATCTGAAATCTGGCTATGTACCTATAATGAGGTCCCCTGTCTAGTTCATATTCGAGGATTTAAGACATTTGGGAATCAGAACCATCTCCCCCACCCGATTCTCTCTCATTCTCTCAGATCCTGTCCGACTTGCTCCGGAGCCGCTGTTGTGAAGATGGGCCGCTTCCCTTCTCCACTCCTGAATCGCGTAAAGCACACTCAACTTGTCTCTCAGGCTGACATCTCCACTTAATCCTAAGGTTCTAGTCAGTTCTGCATGTGTAGGTAGGCTGGTAACATCCTTAGTCAGGCATATCTAGAGGCACCTCACACCGCAGGAACACACAGGAAAAATGCACACAAGCACACACACACACATTAGTGACCAACTCATATTGTGCTCCCCTCTACTCTGTTTCCACACCTGGATGAATTTGAAATGGTCAATGATTCTAGCCTAGCGCCTAAAATGGTGTACTATTTGCATATTGTGGCATGATTCTCCATTTCAAAGGGAAAGTTGGTTAGAAGGAGTCCATGATATAGTCGCACCGGAAACCGAAAGAGAACTGCCGTGTGGGGAAGATTGTTGAATTGTGCGAAGAAGTCCTCGGCTCCCCGTTCTGCGACACCCAAACCCAGTTTTTCTTCGTACGATTTGCATATTTCTCCACTTTAATCTATCAAGCCACAGGTGGACCACCACACGTAAATTTTCGGACTGATTTCTGGTTTGACTCCTCTCACTGCAATCGCCCTTTTCTTGATCTCCATTGATCCTTCATGATCATCTCCTTGGCAATGTCTCTTCCCGCTAATGAATAGCTGTCTTCAACCCAAGCGTCTTCTTTTTGCTGTCCTCGCGGTACTCACAATTTGTGCTGACTATTCCCTCCTCCAATCTCATGTTCATCAGGCTTCTTTGAGGCAGCTTGTTCATAGCCTTCTTGATCTTCGGTTCTCTGTTATTCTCTTCATATGAGACCAGTCTTTCCGCTCCACTCCAATCAATTGTATGGCCGGTAACGGCAATGTGTTTGGCTAGCCCCGATCTTTCCGCTATCATTTCTTGCATTGTCGTTGGTGCTCTTTAACCCTTGCGCAGATTGCCCTTCCAGTCTCTCCTATGTACTTTTGGCTTTCAGTCATTGCAGTTTATTCTATAAGCTCTGTAGCAAACAATTTTAGATATGAAGAGTAAGTGAGTTTCGATTACTCTTCTGAGATAACAATGTTGGAGAGACATTTATTTGTTAAGTCGTAATAACCAGGTTTTTAAAAACTTTATGAAGAATAAGTTATTTAGCTCCAGTATAACTTTGGATTATAACGTGGAACTTTTATTGGAATGATGCTTGAATTTTGCTCTTCTAAGTGAAGTAAACTATTCTTTGGACATGCTGCATTAATCAGCTTATCTTATAGATAAAGAGGTTTAAAAATGATATTCAGTTGGAAGTGATTCCCCATTTTGACTAAATAATCATGCAAAGCAATTTTGTAGTCCAAATATGGTTTCTGGATATTCAAGTCGCCATAATATAATTGGTATGAAAGCCAGCAAAGGTGGCGCAGTGGTAGTGGTAGCTAGGTCAAGTTATGTAGAAAAAATTCTAGTCCATTTTAATGACAGTGACAGGCATTGGCCTTCACTGAGAGATCTATCAGAAAGACTAGCCTGAAGTATGCGTTAGTAATGGTGAAATTGA